GAACATTTACCTGAAGTCCCCAAAATGCCCTGGCCGACTTACTGGAAATGTCCAAAATACCCTGGTCGGTTCGTATTCTATCCTCCTCCTAGTCAACATCTAGATTCTTCCTTATCCCTTAGTGGCTTTCCTCTGGTATGCTGAAGTGAATAGAAGTCGTCGGGGATCCGTGAGTCCTGAGATTACTTCGGTCGACTTGGGATATCCTTGCTTCCGAACCGGCTGGATAATCCCCCACTCGCTAGTAGATCCTAATACGCTTATTCATCCTTTCAGACGGAATCGACTTAGACTAGTCGACATGGTAGAGGTCGACTAAGAAAAGCATTTAGACCTTCAACCGGATATATCATCATGAGGAGATATGTGGGAAGAGTCGACTTAAGGTAAGTCGACTCGACGATAATCGAACCGAGACAGGATAAGCCGTTATATGACAGTATGGCTATATCACTAAGATTTGACTTGGCGGTCAAGAAACAATTACTTTATTAATTAAATATCTTATTTATCTTGGATTTATGTCCCAAAATAAATAAAGACATTAATTAATAAAATATTAAAATTTCGATGTCTACAATGCTTATGTGAACTTATTTTTGCTATCTGCATTATTTTGTCTGATTAATTCGGCTAAGTTGGTAATTCAAACACTAATTATAATTTGAGTTAATAATTATTGCAGATGTCCTCGCCTGCGCGAATTATTCCAATTTTTATTATTTTCATTCGATAAGCGAAAAATGGTTCGACTTGTGATCATTTCCATCGTCTTGTGTGCCTTTATATTTATAGCTGAGTTATGTACCATTTGGACATTAAATTTCTTAGGCCACTTTGACCACGAATACTTGGTCTTGAAGTCAATCATCATCGACCCAAATATTGTGAAATTTGGGCATTCTTCTAGCTCAACACATTCCCGTATAGACATGTTTTGGCCCAAACATTTGTTGAATTTTACACATAAGAGTTCCTAATTTTTTGGTAAGTTTGGTCCAACCCCTAATCACTCCTTTTGATCGGTCTTGAGTGGCCATTTGGAGCTAATTAAATCACCCAATTATGGGATGACTTCTTCCAATTGATTTTTCCCATTTTACTGCCTTGAGATAACTCAATTACTCACCTCAACTCCTTTAGGCATTACACATTTTCCAGGTCAGCCGCGAGGCATCGTAGCACCAACCTCACCGTGAGTAACGACAGCCTGTCGTCACAGCGAGCAACAGTAATTAGCCACCGTAGAGGAATTTCGTAGCCAGACCACTCGCCTCCTAGTAGCCATCCGCGAGACCTGAAAGTAGCAGCCACCATCACCGAACGCGCGAACTTTCTAGGCTGGTGTGTGCGGCCAGACCTCGACCCTCAACGAGTCTCCGAGCAGGTGTGCGTGAGCGCGTCCCAACTGTTTGTAGTTTTCCGCCGAGTACGGAATAAATCCCATCCTCGGGTCATCTTCTCAGAGAAAGGTTGTTTGGAGCTTCGTTCACTATCTAGTCGTCAATTTACAAAATCGAAAATAGGTCCTAAACATGCTACTCGCTTGATTGGGGCTGATTTGAACTAAATTAAGCTAAGCAAATGACGAAAGATGCTAGTTTTAAAAGAAAGATTGGAACTTTGGTTGATAAACAAATAGAAACATGCGAGCAAAGTGATCCTAGGTAATCTAACACGAGCATTCTACACGAAATCATCACGCTTTGAGCAATGTCGAGACCTTTACACAAGCTAAGCACGTATTGACTCGTAACATACTTAAGCAAGCAAGAAAAGTAAAGCAAAGTCCCAAAATAGGCATCACACAAGATTTCGGCCAATAAACCAACTTAACAAACAAGAAGGAAACAAACTCGAAGTAATAAGCCCTAATCAAGATACTTACTCTCCTATCGCAAGCTCGGACGAAAATGATGCGTAAAGATCGAATCTTGGATAAAAATAAAGTCGCCGAAATTTCGCCGAAAAAATTTAGTCATGGACCTCTAACACAAAGCTAGAGAGAAGAAAATAAAATAGAGAATTTCAGAACTAAAAAGTAGAGAAGTGATGGTGGTGTTTAAAAAATACAAAGCAAGACGTCTATGGCGATGTAGGGGCGCTGGCGTGTGACACATGCTTTGACTCGGAACTAACCCAGGACGACTCAAAATGGCTCGACCATGGATTGGATGGCCCAGAAATGTCTCAAAAATTGCTAGTCTTCCCAAACTCGAACAATGTGGACATAATCACACCAAACAAACGAGAGAATACGGAAAAACATAAAAACACAAATCGAACGCAAAAATACAAAAATACAATAAAATAGACCCGTCAACACTAAAACAAACATAAAAAGACACGACTAAAGCAAAAAAAGCCTGCGTTATTTGGGAAAATCAAACTATTTTACGCGTGATCGCACGAGATTCGTACTAGTGCGAAAGAAAAATCAAATTATTCATACATATATCATGACAATTTTTCTATTAATTACTTATTAAATATGCTAATGGATAATTACAAAATATGGCAAACATTATAATATTATAGCGAAACTTACTAACTAAATATTAAATTATTATATAACAAAAAGTGTAAAATAAAATATTGTAAATAATATAAATACTATTGTTTATGTCTATTAATTTATATTGCATTCCATTCGTAGAGTTGTCGAATTAAACGAGTCACTCATGATTCGGCATGCTCGAGCTCATTTAAAGATCGATCAGATAACGTGAGGAGCTCCATTTGGCTCGATAAAGCTCGTTAAGGCTCGAAGAAAATAACTTTTATGTATTTTTCTATGGTTTGGCTGGATTATGGCTCGTTAATATTGATAAGCGAGTCGAGCTCGAGGTCAATTATAAGACCATTAGTTAATGAGCCGAGCCAAGCTGAGTTTGTTAAGAGCTCGAGCATCTCACAAATATATATGCTCAAGCAATGTATGGATAGGGTTGTAAACGAGGCGAACTCGAGCTCGATTATAAGCTTGTTAAGTTAACGAGCCGAGCTGAACTCGTTAAGAACTCGAGCTTGGCTCTTTATAACTCTATCCATACATCGCTCGAGCATGTTTATTAGTGAGATGAACTAGAAAAGATGTCCAGCTAATATTACATGAGTAAATAGTGTAATCTAATCTAAATATGTTATAAAAATAGATATGTTTTAAATAATAATGTCAATGATAACAAAGTTTGAAAGTGCCGAGAGGCAGGGACGAATTCAGCATTAGCCTGGGCTGGGCTGAAGCCCAGGCCCGTTTTTTTTTTTTATTTTTTACACCTACTAGCTTCAATTTTTTTATTTTTTTTATTTTACCCTTAGCCCAGCCCTTAGCCCAAGCCCTTAGCCCAGCCCAACCAAATAAAATAAACAAGCAGCCAGCAGGCCCAATTTCCCAACTCAAGTTTACATGTAATTGTTAATTTGTATACTAATTCACTTAAACAAATTAACTTTACCCAAGATAAAAAGGAAAAAACAGAGCACCTCTTCCTCGGTTCGACTTCTGCTATTTCTACCTTGGAGTCTCTGACATATACGGATTGCGTTCACCGGCAGCCTAATTCTCATCGACGGAGGTCGTCGTCCACTCGGCCCCCGATTTAGAAGGTACCCCAAAAAAAAATAAAAACTTCACAAACCCTAGATAGGCTAGATTACTCATGACTATATTATGTATTGTCATTTTGCACCATGCGTGATTCGTGAATTTGATTATGATTTCTATTTTCTACACTTCTTATAGCTATTGCTAATTGCTATATTTTTTTATTGTACATGCTTTTTTGCCTTTTTTTTCTAATTTAATTTTGTTTGATTAGATTTTTATTTTGTTTATTTTGTTGGATTAATTATCTTATTAAGTTCATGTGACACTTGCTTGCAAAGGGAGAAAAAAAAAAATGGTGTATGAGGTTTGATTAGTGTGTAAGATATGATTTAGTGATTGACGAATTTTTTGGAGAGGAAAAGAGAAATTTGAAGGATTTTTCATTTCTTCTAATCTTGTTTGTTATGCTTTATAGGGGATTGTCTTTTATAGATTTTATACTTTTGGTTTTGATAGATAATTTATATATTGTTATTTTTGAATGGTTGATCATAGGTATATAATGTAGAAATGATTAGTTCAGATATTTATATTTCAACTTATATTTAAGTTGAATAAATGGGTATATTTGGCTTATATTGGTATTGTGAAAATATTTGATAAAAATGTGTATTTAAAATTCTAGCCCAGTCTACTCTTAATTTCTAGATCCGTCCCTGAACCGGATAGATGTGCAATGTGTGAGGAGAAGAGCTCCCTTTCAGCTTAGTTAGACGATCGGAGACCATGAACCGGATAGACCTCGGATTTACCCTATGACTTCGCTTCATATGTATTCTTTGGTCTAGTCTCACGTTACATGTACCACGGTACTATTCACCACGCTGTAATTTTTTTCCTTCAAATTTTAATGTTTTAACTGATTTTTATTTCTAGATATTATTTTGATAAAATGTACATCAATAAAAATATTTATTTTGTTAAATATTCTAAAATTTTGATTCTAAAGCTTTATTTAAATTTTATGTCGTACTAATATATTTCAGGTAGAGTAAAATATATCTCCACTTACTTAAGATGAATTATTTATTGACATTATTTATTGTAGACTAGAATAAACTTTAGAATAGAGTAAACGAATGAAGATGGTAGGAAACGAGTGTCGAGCCCAATTGTGGTCCTTGATGCTGGAGGAAATTGGCGTTAAAGGAAAATGGAAAATGGAAAAGAAAAATGAACTAGGAGACAAGGAAAACTGAAATGTGGACAGCTACGCGTTTCCCAAACACAAACAAAAATCGATCGAAGAAACAAAACCATCTCTCTCTCTCTCTCTCTCTCTCTCTCTCTCTCCAAGTTCCTACGTCTCTGGGTCGATACCATTATTTGAGAGCTGTAAGCGAAGACCTTATAAGGGTTAGGGTTTTACGATCTTCTATCTGAGAAGGTGATGAGTGTTTGTTCTTTTCTCGCAAAATGGCACCGTCTCCACAAGCCGCTGAAGCTCTTGATTTTTCTGTTGGCCTTGCTTTCAGCTCTCAGCGACGTCCTCGGGGGCTCCGATTCGGATAAATCCGCCCTTCTCGAGTTCAAGGATTCAATTTCCGACAGTTCTGGTGTCCTGAGCAGCTGGAGTAGAGGAAACCCGGATTACTGCTCGTGGAACGGCGTACTTTGCAGTTCGGCCTCTCGGGTCGTCGCCCTGAATCTCACCGGTGGAGGTAATTCCTTATCTTGTGCTCGAATTGCTCAATTTCCGCTTTGTGGGTTTGGGATTAGGCGGCCTTGTGCCGGCAGCAATAGTGAAGTCAAACTCTCCGGTAAGCTCTCCGCTGCTGTTTCTAAGCTCAGTGAACTTAGAATCTTATCATTGCCTTTCAATGAATTGACTGGGGAGATTCCTGTCGAAATTTGGGGGATGGAAAAGCTTGAGGTTCTTGATCTAGAAGGGAATTTTATTTCGGGCTCCCTGCCGTTGACTTTTAGCGGGTTGAAGAGTTTGAAGGTTCTTAATTTGGGATTCAATGAGATCTCAGGGGAGATTCCTAGTTCATTGTCAAATTGTGTGGGCCTTCAAGTTCTGGCTTTAGCAGGGAATCAGTTAAACGGGTCTATTCCCGGCTTTGTTGGTGGTTTTGGAGATCTGGGCGGGCTTTACTTGTCGTTTAACCTACTCAGTGGATCTATTCCGGATGAAATTGGAGGCAACTGTGGGAAGCTTGAGCATTTGGAGTTGTCCGGTAATTATTTGACTGGTGGAATTACTAAAATGCTCGGGAACTGTAGAAGTCTGAAAACCCTTCTGCTTTACTCCAATATGTTGGGGGGTTCTGTCCCGGGTGAACTTGGCAACCTGAGTCAGCTTGAAGTTCTCGATATTTCGAGGAATAATTTCGGCGGCACCATACCATCTGAACTTGGTAACTGCACAAAATTATCTGTCCTTGTGTTGTCCAACTTATGGGACCCACTTCGAAATGTCCCGAGCCTGGGGGAGTTGCCTTTCACCCCCAATGAGTACAACTTCTATGAAGGCACAATTCCGAGCGAAATCACTAGCCTACCAAGCCTGAGAATGCTGTGGGGTCCACGAGCGACTCTCGGGGGACACATTCCTGCCGGCTGGGGTTCCTGCAAGAGCCTGGAGATGTTAAATCTGGCAGAGAACTATTACACGGGAGAAATTCTTGAGTGGTTCAGCAGGTGCAGGAATCTTCACTTTCTTGATTTGAGTTCGAACAGGCTTAGTGGGGGCATAGACCACCGAATTCCTGTACCATGTATGGGTCTCTTTGATATCAGCGGGAATTATTTTTCTGGTTCGATACCTGAATTTATTTACGGATCATGTGCTCCTCGAACTTGGACGGTGTATGGGCATGCGTTGTGGCCTTATGATCCTTCTGCTGTGTACATATCACATTTTGGATACAGAAATCAGATTGACTACTCTTTGCCACTTACTGAAAATAGTGGAAGTTTCCTGGTATTACACAATTTTGGTTCTAATAAGCTCACCGGGCCCTTGCCGTCGATGCCCATTGCGCCAGAACGACTGGGGAAGCAAACTGTTTATGCATTTCTTGCTGGCAAAAACAAGCTTACTGGAAATTTTCCTGGGCCTTTTTTTGACAAGTGTAACCAAACGGGGGGCGTAATGGTCAACTTCAGTCACAACGAACTATCTGGTCAATTTCCAGCTGATATGGAAACCATGTGTGAGCCGCTGATCCTCCTAGATGCTTCCAGCAATCAAATTTATGGAACACTCCCCCCTACCGTTGGCAGCTTAAATTCACTTCTCGTTCTCAATCTGAGCTGGAATTCCTTGCATGGCTTAATCCCGAGCAACCTCGGCCAGATGAAGAACATGAGACGCCTCTCCCTGGCTGGAAACAACCTGCATGGTCCAATGCCTGCAAGCTTGGTCCAGCTGAACAATCTGGAAGTTCTGGAACTCTCATCAAACTCGCTTTCTGGTGAAATTCCCAGAAACATATCGTCCCTGACCAAGCTGAACATCCTTTTGCTGAATAACAACAAGCTAACGGGGAAGCTACCCACCATCTCCACCCTCTCTTCAATCGACGTCTCCTTCAACAATCTATCTGGGACCCTGCCCCTTCTCCTGAATGATACCGGCAATGACAACAGGATCAAATGCAACAGCTTTCTCGGGAACCCATTGCTCCACTGTCCATCAACCTCCCTATCCTCGTCGCGCGCCGATCAGCAACCGTGGGCCCCGCAGGCTGATGCCGCCGCCTACTCCTTGCCGGCTCCTTCACAGCGTGGAAGACCGAAAGCCGGCAACCTGAATTCAATCGAGATTGCATCCATTACCTCAGCCGCAGCCATTCTTTCCGTCCTCGTTGCCCTCATCATCCTCTTCCTCTACACCCGCAGGCGGAGCCCTGTGCCGGGCCGAGGCAGCAGCAGGCCCAACAAGAGAGAGCTGATCGTGTTCTCGAGTGTGGGCGCCACGCTGAGCTATGAGGGCGTCGTTCGGGCTACAGGCGGCTTCAATACGAGCAACTGCATCGGCAGCGGCGGGTTCGGGGCCACGTACAAAGCAGAGGTCGCCCCCGGCGTGCTCGTGGCTGTGAAGCGCCTCGCACTCGGCCGCTTCCAAGGCGCACAGCAGTTTGACGCGGAGATCCGGACCCTTGGCCGCCTCCGCCACCCAAACCTTGTCACCCTCGTGGGGTACCATGCAAGCGAGTCCGAGATGTTCCTCGTCTACAACTACCTGCCGGGGGGCAATTTGGAGAAATTCATTCAGGAGCGGCTGGGTCGGGCCGTGGAGTGGCGGGTTCTGCATCGGATTGCACTGGACGTGGCGCGGGCCCTCGCTTACCTGCACGACGAGTGCGTCCCGCGCGTGCTGCACCGGGACGTGAAGCCGAGCAACATACTTCTGGACGAGGAGTGCAATGCATATCTGTCGGATTTTGGGCTGGCGAGGCTGCTGGGGACATCGGAGACGCACGCGACCACGGGGGTGGCGGGTACGTTCGGGTACGTGGCGCCCGAGTACGCGATGACGTGTCGGGTGTCGGACAAGGCGGACGTGTACAGCTATGGGGTCGTGCTGCTTGAGCTGCTATCTGACAAGAAGGCGCTCGACCCGTCTTTTTCCACGTATGGGAATGGGTTTAATATTGTGGGGTGGGCGTGCATGCTGCTGAGGCAAGGGAGGGCGAGGGAGTTCTTCACGGCCGGGCTGTGGGAAGTGGGCCCGCACGATGACCTGGTGGAGGTGCTGCACCTGGCTGTGGTGTGCACGGTTGACTCGCTCTCGACAAGGCCTACTATGAAGCAGGTGGTGAGGCGGCTGAAGCAGCTCCAGCCGAGTGATGGGCGCAGGTAAGGCAAGATGGGATGTGCGAAAGGGGAATGTTTTTGGGTTTGTTTGGTAGTCAATTTTTAGCAAGCTGTAAATTGTATTTGTAGCTTTTATTTGTTATGATTATTATTATTATTATTATTATTATTATTATTATTATTTGTTTTTTTTTTTTTTTTTTTNTTTTTGGCATTTATCCTTTGGTGTGCAGTATAGTTGTTAGGTGTTGAGTTATGTTCTGCAGAAGAATGCAGATTAATTTGTTCTGGGACAATGTCTTGGTGTTGTACGTGATTCCTATTATCTTGTTGAAATAAATGGCAAAAAATAGGTTTGTTGCAGTAACTCAACTCTATGTTGGGATTATGGACTGTAGATATTGGCTGCTGCGAGAGTTGCGACTAATCCCCTCCTATTTTCTTGTACTTCATTTATTTGTTTAAGCACTTCCATTTTATTATGATATCCTGCAGCTAAAACTCCAAACAAACAGTTGGAGTAATCAAAAGATTACAAGTGAGCGTATTAGCCACAAAGCCAACAAACAACACACACGGGAGAACACCACATAAGTGCCCCCTACACGACCAATTCGGTCTAAAAAATAACAATAGCAAAGAGCACACTAAGAAAATACACAAGAGTCCAAAAGAGAGTAAATGAAAAATACATCATCAGCAATCAGCCTAAGATGAGTGGGAACAACAATCTTTGAGTTTAGCATTCGAACCAGCCCTTTATCTTGAAGACAATGTCCACCTTTTCACGACCAGCAGCTAAAACGTCCCCTAACCACTTCCTTATTGCCAGTATTGTATCTGCCATTGTTGTGTTGTATTGTGTTGAGTTCTAGTAACACACCAACTGGCCACCTCTCTGCTCAGCACAAAAGTGTTCCGTCGAACAGATAACACCTCAGGTAAAGAGTTTGTAGCACTGGCCCCAGTCCTGTTGCCCTACTCCCTGACTCTCACCTTCCTCATTCAAAGTGTCACTCTTCTGAGCACTCTGAATGTTTTGATTGATTAAAATGTTCTACTGCTTCAAATTATAACCACTCGAATCTAGCCGTCTGCACCAGTATTAATTCACTGCAATCTTCTTTTTTAAAAAGTCTGGGTCCTCCATAGCCACCGTAATAGGTAAGTGGATAGGAAAATTATATTCTTACAGTTGCTCTTCTTACCAATCCTGCAGAGATCCTCCCACCATTCTTGAAAACCAAGTTGACTATGTTGAAGTTTCTCCAGAAAATGTCGACTATCTTCCAAACTCTTATGGCTCTTTTACCCCTCAAAAATAAGTGTTCCAAGTCTTCTACTTCTTCTCCACACCAACCACAAATGTCATCCCCTTCCATCCCTGCTTCAAAACTTGCTTTGGTACAGATGAAATTGTGCCAACCCATCCAAAGTGAGTTCCAGATACTCACAGACACCTCATTTCCTATTTGATATCTAAGACCCAGCTTCATAAAACTTTTAGTCCCCAACCAACATTTCCATATCCAAGAACCAGAGCTTTTCTTAGAAATTTTCATAATATCTTGGCTTAGAAAACATCTACCATTTATAACCCTACTCATCAAAAGATTAGGTTACGTAAGTGTTCTCCGTAGCTGTTTAAAAATCAGTCTCTTATTAAACACCCAAATCTCCCTGAAACCCCAACCACCCCCTCCAATTTGTGCCTAGCTAACCTATCCCAGGTTGCCCAATGAATTTTGTCTTTACCCTCCTCATTTTGTCCCCACAGAAATTAGCTATAATTCTGCAAATCTCCTGACACCCCAAAGTAAGGGGACAAAGGGTTCCTCTGTCTTAGTCCTCTAAAAGGTTGAACATTTTTCTAATACTTCTTCATTGTTTTCGTAAATCAACATGAATTGTGTTAATAAATCAACACGAATTAATTGTTTCTACAACTGCAACAATCGAGGATTGCAACTCTAATGCTACCTATGGGCACATCAAAATCAAGTTGAAATCAATAAATCAAATGCCAGGGACAAATCAAAATAGTTACACCAAAACCTGTTCAATAAATCTTTGTGAATACTTGGTAGGTTATTGAAAATATAGAAGATCCTATGCACTTCAAAATGACATGTCTACTTAGAATCATTAACTTAAAACTGCAGCGGACAAAAATACCCCTTCAACAAATATGGCAAGCACTACTCCAAAATGAAAAATAAGCCAACACAAATAAATAAAAGACGGGAAAGAAAAAAACACAAAAATTGATAACGGAGTTCGGCGAAAATAGCCTACGTCTCCGGCACCGCCAACCGCAATGCTAAATTTACTAAATTCACCAACAAAATACAACTAGGGTTAAATAACCCACAAAATAGGATTTTCTTAATTAAGGATTTCCTTCTAAATAGGAGAGAATAGAATAAGGTGCAATTGTAACCCAAAGGCACGAGACCTATTTATACTAAAAAGATCCTACACATCTTTGGTACACATCCGATGTGGGATATAAAATTAATCAAAATTTAACAATTCTCCACCTTGACTAATTTTTGCTCTCACTTCCAACTTAACTGCTAGCGGTGCCTCCAAATGCGCCTCACGGCGCCAGCTCAAATATGCAGAATGTTTGTCAAGTCTAAACAACGTTCAAACTTGACTGCTGTAACTATCTTGGTCATCATATCTGCAGGATTCTCCGTCGTCTTGATCTTCTTCAACACAACGGTTCCATCTTCTAGAATCTCCCGCACAAAGTGATAGCGAACATCAATATGTTTCGTTTTTGCATGAAATACTTAATTTTTCGCTAAGTGAATAGCACTCTGACTGTCACAATGCACTAAGACGTGCTTTTGACCAACTCCCAAGTCTTCAAGCAAACTTTGAAGCCAAATAGCCTCCTTCACAGCTTCAGTAACCGCCATATACTCTGCCTCTGTTGTAGACAAAGCAACTGTTGACTGTAAGGTAGACTTCCAACTAACTGGAGCTTTTGCAAAAGTGAACAAATATCCTGTCGTTGATCTTATCTTATCCAAATCACCCGCGTAGTCAGAATCACAATATCCAACTACACACTGACCAAATTCATTCTGCTCACAAGCCAATCCAACGTCTACAGTAATATGACTGTACCGTAGAATCCATTTCACAGCTTGCCAATGACCTTTCCCAGGGTCATGCATATACCTGCTAACAACACAACTTGCTTGTGAAATGTCGGGCCTTGTACACACCATCGCATACATCAAACTGCCAACTGCATTTGCATATGGGACTCTAGTCATGTACTCTCGTTCTTCATCACAATTTGGCGATAACTGGGCACTTAACTTAAAATGTGGGGAAAGTGGTGTACTTACAGGCTTCGACTCATCTTTTATGCCGAAACGCCGCAGTACCTTATTCAGATATTGCTTCTGAGTCAAACAAAGCTTGCCTCTCACTCTGTCCCTGCTTATCTCCATCCCGAGAATCTTCTTAGCTTTTCCAAGTCTTTCATCTCAAACTCTTGATTCAACTGAGCCTTCAATTGATCAATCTCCACTTGGCTCTTTGATGCAACCAACATGTCATCCACATACAAGAGTAAGTAAATGAAAGATCCATCTTGCAGCTTGCGTAAATACACACAATGATCATGTCTGCTTCGCGTGTACTTCTGCCCAATCATAAACTTATCAAACTGTTTGTACCACTGCCTCGGAGATTGCTTCAGTATGTACAACGATTTGTTCAACTCACAAACCCAATTCTCTTTTCCAAGAATTTTGAATCCTTCTGGCTGAGTCATGTAGATTTCCTCATCTAAATCTCCGTGTAAAAACGCCGTCTTCACGTCAAGTTGAGCTAGCTCTAAATCCAACTGTGCTGCTAAAGCCAACAAAATTCTAATGGAAGAATGTTTAACAACTGGAGAAAACACTTCATTATAATCAACTCCTTCCTTCTGAGCGTAGCCTTTAGCCACCAACCATGCCTTGTAGGCACATCATTCTTATGAGGAAATTCATCTTTCTTTGCAAATACCCACTTTCATCCATCGCCCTTTTGCCTTTTGGTAGTTGCGTCACCTTCCAAGTTTGATTCTTCTGGAGAGACAACATGTCTTCCTCCATAGCCCATTTCCACTTCTCATTTTCTAAACTTCGAATTGCATCTTGAAAAGTGAAAGGTATGTCATCATCAACAATTAGAAGTGCATAAGCCATCATATCCGCCAATCGAGCAGGTTGTTGAATCTCTTGTCTGGGATTTCTCAATGCAATGGGTAAATCTAACGATTCTTGAGTCTGAACTTCATCATCCGACAAATCCTTTGATATTGGTTCGTCGATCATAGCTGGTTGTCTCGTTATCGCATCTATCTCCACCTGCTTCGGTGTCAACTCCACCTGTTGGGTTTGCGTCGTCTTCATCATACCTTGTTCATCAAATGTAACATCCCTGCTAAACACAGTTTTGTTCTTCTCAAGACTCAAAAGACGATATCCCTTCACGCCAATTGTGATTCCCATGAACAAAGCCTTTTTCGCTCTTGGATCTAACTTTGAATCCTTCACATGATAGAACGTAGGACACCCAAATACATGTAAAGATCCATAGTCAGCAACATGTTTCCCCGACCATACCTCCAACGGTGTTTTACCACCTTTTGCAGATGACGACAAACGATTTATGAGGTGTTGCGCGTATGTTACAGCCTCAGCCCAGTACTCCTTGCCCATGCCAGCATTGGACAACATACATCAAACTTTCTCAACCAATGTTCAATTCATGCGCTCTGCCACCCCATTTTGTTGTGGTGTCCGTCTAACGGTGAAGTGCCTAACAATGCCATTTTTACGACAAACTTCTTGAAAGGGATCACTTGTATATTCACCACCATTGCCCGTACGTAGGACCTTGATCTTTCTTCCAGTCTGGTTCTCAATTTGTGTCTTCCATGTAATGAAGACACCAAGCACTTCATCCTTCGTCTTCATAGTGTACACCCAAACACGTCTGGAAAAGTCATCGATGAAAGTGACAAAATAGCGTCTT